AAAGAGAGGGACTAACTGAATCCCAGAAGGACCAGGTAATAAGAGCACTGCACTAAAGGGCAGGAGGTGAATGGATGAGGACGAGGGACGTAGCAGCAAAAGATGAAGATGGTCCAGGGATTCAAAACAGCAGAGAGATTATGCTCAAAAGGCAGTGACTGAAAAGAAAATTAAGGGCACAGATCTCAAGAGGCCTGTGAGAGGAACTGCTCCTCTTGTCTCTCCATGTCACCCTCCATGTCACTCTCCTCCCCACCACCACCTTGACATAGCTGCCCTCCCTGTTCCCATTGTTTGCCGGCAGTGAAACAAACACAGAAAGTGTGGGATGAACTAAGTGGGAGGAAAAGGGGAAGACTTAAAGTCCATTCAGAGCAGTGAGGGAACCTGCAAGCCTCCCTTGCTCCAGAGCAAAGCAAAGCAGCAGAGACTCTGGCTGCACTTTGACCCTGCCCACAGCACTGTTGCCTCCACTGCCAGTGGTCAGATTTCCCCCTCACCAAAGGGTCCTTGAAGTACATGAGCCTGCGGTGATCCAGCGTGAACCAGCGCCTCTTAAAAGCCTCTTTCTGCTGTGAAGGGAAGAGGTGACATATATAAGGGGACAGTGCCCTCTGCTGCGAGCAGGGTGAACGGATACCCCAAATTCATCCCAACCATTCCAATTAAGCCCCTGCCTCAGAGGAACCTTCGCCTCAGCCCTTCTGAGCTGAGAGTGGGGATCGGTAACTGTTTCTTCGGTCCCAAGTGTTGCACCCAACTCTTGGACTTCTATGAAGGACCCCAGAATTCAGACAGGAAAAATCTAGACTCTAAATACATGTAAAGTCACATGCACACAGATACATGCAGAGGGATCTGTTGTTCCAGGAGAAAAAAGGGACTCTGGCTTCACTCTGCTTTCACATGCAACCTTCCCCTTCCTTTTAATTCCCCCTCCCTTAGTGCACACACACTGTTCCCATGGGTCTCTAATGAGTGCGTGTGTGCTGGGGTCGGGGGGAGAGATGTGGAAACAGCAGCAGAGCACTGAAATAAGGAAGGTCAGTGTCTCTCTGGCACCTCCCTGTTAGATTTTCTCCTCGTACAGCAGCTTACCTTGGGACCAGTCTTCTCCATGTATCCCTCTTTCAGGAAATTTCTTGTTAGCCGGCTTTTAAGCTGCAAAAAAGGAAAAAGTAGCTTTCTCTTAGCCACGTTTCTTTGTCATTAACTTTGTCCCCTCGGTTTGGCTCAGCTGCTCTTCCCCACACTTCCTTCTAGAATTCCCCCCTTTTAA